TAAATTTACTAGCAATCAAGTAATCCAATTCGAATAAACTTTTTTTATTTCATAGAGTTCACTAAGAAAAAAAAGTTTATTCACTGGTAAATTTAAATTTTATTCATAAAATCTATATAGCCTCAGAAGGTTATTTTCCTTATATTTATAAAGTTTGGTCAGTATTAATCACATGATCAAGATTATATTACAAAAAAAAAAAAAAAAAAAATAAGTTTCTTGCTTCTATATTTTCTTTGAAATTGTGAATAGTAAGTTCGAATTGAAGCTATCCATTCGATACATATTTATTTCTGCTTAACCTCTTCAACTTTCAATAGCTTCAGAAATTTTTTTGAATAATCATAAAAAGAATTAATCTAATGTAAGTTTTATTACAAGCTAAAATTTTATATGTTAGTATATTTGTTATAATATTTTTTTTACCACGACTATTCTACCTTGTCAAGGCTTTAATCTTTATATTAAAAAAAAGTCTATTTAGTTTAAAAAGGAAATATACAGTATTTGAGAAATTTTAAAACTAACAACAGGAAAATTTTCATTTGGTCATAATCTAAAGAATTATTATTTTTCGAAACATTTCAGATTTGAGTTATTATATTTTTTACTGTAATTAAATCGCTTTTTAATTATTTGAACTCCTATGGCTATAGAGGGCCGTAGGAGTTCAAAAATTGAGAGATCAAATTGTGAAAAAAAAATTTACTGGTAAAACTAATGATTAACCAGATAAACAAATATTCGACATCTTAATGACATATGTTTGTTCTTCTTATTATTTTTATTTACTAAAATGTTGATAACAATATTCTTTTTTAGAAAGGTTTCAATTTAAAGTTTTTCTGATTCAGAATTGCTTAATTCTTAGCTAAATATGACTTTGAATTAATAAACGAGTAAATAAATAATGCCATTATTTGATTTTGCATTGCTCAGAATTTGAAGCATTATTATAACCTTTAATAATAAGTTAAAAAAGTAAGTTGTGATATTTTATAGATTATTATACTTTAATGTTTTATGAGTAATTTTCAATCTAATAATAATAAACAAAAAATAAGATGCTTACTGTTATAATAAAATTCAATGTAATTGATGAAAACGTCAAAGAGTATTATTCAAAAATATTATTAAAATCCTTAATTTGTGCAAAAATCTTTCGAGAGTAAAAATTTTAGAATGTATGAAAGATTTTATTTCTAATTACTCAGCTGAAGTAACATGTCTTAAAACAAAAGAACTAGAGTATAATCAAGTTATGCTAAGAATTTTAGGTGAAAATGAATCACTACATAAAGAGGTTGATACGTTAAGAGAAATAATACAAGATTATAGTATGCTTTATATTTTTAACCTTTGTGCAAATAGTAATTTTTTAAATTTTTTTTAATATATTTGCATCATAAAACTATTTAGAAAGTTACTATCAATTCAATAAAATTTTCGAAATATTTAATGATTAAAAAAGTTTATGTACTCTTTATTGAATAAATATTCAATCTATACAATTTATATACTTTCTTAAGCCTATTTCTTAAAGCTAATAGTAATATTGGTCAATATTTAGACACCAAATTTTCATAGTTGCAATAGTCTATAATGTATTCTTATATATTAAACATATTATAAAAAAGAAATTCTGATCACACTGAATAATTTTAAAGATTTCATTTTAAAGGAATATGAACTTAGCAAACAAAAAGTTTTTCTTGAGCTATCTTTCTATATAACTCAATTGTTAACCAGGGTTTTTTGATAGTTATACTAGGGAAAACACAAGAGAGAAATTCAAATGTAAAATTTTGAATACAAGAAAAAAATAATTTTAAATACAAGAAACAAATAAATATTATGGTATTTATATGTTAAGAAATATTTTTAAACTAAAAAAATAAATTTAAACAAATTTACATGATAGCAAATTCATTAATATAATTTAAAAAATAAAATTTTTGCTCTCAATTTCAATCTGTTTTCTAGTTTTATCAAAATAAATACTTCTAGAAAACACTTGATATAGGTGTACAATTTCTAAGAGTGCAAAAGAGTTTTTAAAATCAAGATTATTAAAAAAGTAATACAAATCATTTAAAATTAACTCATTTTTATTATTTGAATTTAATATTATCCAAATCTTAACCTCTTTAATATATTTAGGTAAAGATTTAGCCAGATTTTTTAAATAATGACTCAATTTCATATTTATTAAATTAATTTCAAAATAATTCTGATAAAGTATCAAATGTTGTAAATTCAGAACCCAGGGAATTTCTAAATAATTTAAACAACTTAAAAATCTGATAATCGAAAAATCTATAATGCTATGATATCTTTCATATATTGTTTTAAAAATTTGTTCGAGTGAATCTCTATAATATGGACCTATTATATTAAAGATTTTTAAACTTGAACTGCAAATATTAAGAAGTGCAAGAGTGGGTGCTTTTGAGTTATAAATTATTAGTTATTGAAGAGGGATTTGATGAATTATTGAATCATATTGTTTATCTTCGCTTTTATCAAAGTTACAATCGAGTATAATTAAACTTGAAAGAAATGAAAATTTGATTAAATAATTAATAAAAGTAATTTGATGAAAATCAATTAGATCAAATTCTAGATGCGATATAGAATGTGCTTGATATTGAAGAGAATTTAAAATATATATATTAAATATATTTTTAATTAAAAAAGATTTTAGCTCATTTTGTGTTTTAATCAATGTTATAAGATCATTATATAAATTTGAATAAATATATGATGAATTTACAAATTTTATGTGTTAAATTTTTGTAGATTTATTAACTAACAGTTGAAAAAGAAATTTAAAAATCATATCTATTATATTTTTTTTCATATTATTTTGAGACTTTTTATAAAAAATTTGCAAAAATTTGATTACAGAATCGATAAAGCTATCAATATTAAGATATTTTAAATATGATGAGTATGATAATAAAGATGCAAGTGGTAAAATTTTAAAATTTTTTTTGATAACTTTTTTAGCTTCAAAAGACATTTGTTGAATATAGGATTTAATAACAAGATATGTCTTTGAAAGCTTATTTAAAAAAGGGGCATGTCATAAAATCAGAGATGCTTCACGAAACTATTCAGAATTTACTTGAGTACAAGAATTAAGTGTTCTATGATTGTATTCTAGATTTTTAAATATTTCTTTTAATACAAGTGAAGGTAATATTTGGATCTAAAATATCTATAAACAATTATTATATAAAATTGAGATTATTTATAAAATTTAAAAAACATTCAGCATTATATTCAATGAAATAAATAATTGTATTTTGAATATTTGGCTTGTGAATTAAAATCTTTTAATTATATCAATACGCATAAATTAAAGTTAGTCAAATTTTCAAGAATTCTTTAAATAATGTCTCAGGGCATTATTTCGCACAAATACAGTATTGTTTAAATATTTAATTATTAATTTAATATAGATAATTCTGAATTAAATTTTATAATTCAAATTTCAAATTTCAACATTTTATTTAAACTTGTAAGGATCTTCTTTTTTGATAGCAATATAATAAAGCTTTTAGATTAGTACTAAATTAGTGCCATCTCTCAGAATTTTAAATATATCAAACTTTTTTAGTGATATCAAATAGTAATTGAAAATAAAAATGGGATTTCATCATGTAAACCTTTTTTTTAACCATTTTTAGTACAGTAGTATGTTATAAAATTTTTAGGTTCGATTTTACTTTATTTTATATTTTATTTGCTTTATATGACAAAAATAATTAAGCGAATGAATAATTACGTATCGATATCATATGATCAAAATTACGACAATTTCAGTAATTAGCGTTAGCGAACGAAAAATTTAATAAACTTTACATATCATGTGATTACAATTACATTTCCAATTTACCGAATCTTACGAAAAAATTACACAAAATTACGTAAAATTACGGTAATTTCATCAAAACCTATTATAGGCCGATGTTGATCAATTAGTACAGTAGTATAACCTAAGACCCTTCACGATATGTATACAAGTTTTTTTTTTATATTTTGTCACTAAAATTTAGGATTTATTTTAAAAACCCGTAAAATTCCAATTCTGCAAATCCGCTGATATGAAGCTTCTTTATAATAATCTCTAGGCACATTGAACATAACTTATCAAATTTGTCATAGGTTTCATCATTTTGCCATAGGTTTCGTCATTTCATTAATTGTCATAGGTTTCGTCAATCGTCAATTCGCCAGTTAGGAGTCACCTGACAAAATGGTTTCGTCATTTGTCAATGATTTGTCATTTGTCAGGCATCTTTAGTATACAACTTATATACTGTATATATATTTATACCCATAAATACAGAAATATTGAAATCCATGTAATCAGGTGTCCAGAATTTATAAAAACAGCTGTAATACTTATAAGTATCCAAACAAAGTTTTTTTTGAACGGATCCAACCATACATGACAAAGTGTGATAGGTACTTTTCTATTATAAAGATCCGCATTCCATGTGTGATTTAACTTAAAAATTCTTATTGTAACGGGTAAATGGTGAGGTAAATCTTTATGGAATATAAGGCTATAACAAAAAAGCGGAGGGAATATTATGTAACCATAACACAGAATACATTTCTTAGTTTTAAGATGAAACAATTGGTAACAATTCTGTGTATTCTTCTAAAAAAAAACGATAAATTAAATAACCATTGAAAGTAAATAAGGGATAGCCGATCTACGAGATTAACAACAAGGAAATGTAACATTCATAGTATATTATGCATTATATATTGCAGTAGAAATGTCTTGTTTGAAATTATATAAAAAGATGAAACTTAAGGTAAATAATCAAATTAGGAATAATGATTTTTATTTGAAATACAGTATAAAACCAACCATTTTTCCTCATCAGGAAAGTTGTAGCAACGATTCCAACGTTATTGCTCAAGAATTTGCTGTGCAAGTTCTTTAAAAGTGTCATTTTTGCGTAACGTGTAAAATACAAACTATGAAGCTCATATCGTTGCTACCTGTTATTACATTAATAATAATCGGATTCATACTTGATCAAACATACGCATCTGGAATAGGTACATGTTATGAACATACAACTTATCCATATAAACATGAAACAATGAAAAAAACAAAATGCGATATGGAAAAAGTAAGAGGCCAACAACAGTTAAGCTCTGTTGTTGGAAATCTTAGTCCAGATCAAGCATTTGTCATAGATTTTCACTGCGGGGTCAGTGATAAAACACTTTGCAGTAAAGCTCAAACTGCATTTAATTTAGTTGGTAAACGAATCGCTTCTGTGCTTAAAATTAATGTAGTAATAAAAGTAAATGCTACTTTCACTGATTTTTGCGTAGCTTTTAATGAATGTATATCCGGTAACGGGATGGTCTTGGGTACGTTTTTTTTTTTTTTTTTTTTTTTTAACTTACTACTTAATTGTTAGTATTTATGCAGCAATTTATTTACATTCGATTTTTATTTTTATTTTATTTTTTATAGGATCAGCAGCACCTGCAAGAACAATCCCAATGGTGGATAGTGATAATATAACAAGACTTTATCCTCAATCTTTAGTAAAACAAAGAATGTTATCAAATCGACCACAACTTGGAACATATGATATTGTAGCAAATTTTAATTCACAAGCAAACATGTTTTTTCGTGGAGATGGTAAAATAAAACCAGGACAATTTGATTTTGAATATATAGTAACACATGAATTCCTTCATGGACTAGGTTTCGGGTCAAGTTGGAGAACATATTTTAGTAATATTAATATATTAACTCCGATGCCAATTGATGATGGAATGACTTTTGTAGGATTTATGGAAACAGAATTTGATAGATATATGACCGTTCAACAAAATGGCACATCTGTACCTATGACTTCACTCACTAAGCAACTTAATAGTATATTTTCTAGTAAAAATTCCGGTACAGTAAATTTTGCTGGAACTCCCCAATTTAAACTTGCTCAACAATTACTCACTGCTGCATCAACACCATCCACAATGAATTTCGTAACTAATTCAAAAGATAAAATATTATTAGAAACTAGTATTAATCCTTTTCAAGATGGGTCAAGTGTTAGTCATGTAGATAGTAAGACCTTTACTACAAATAGTGATTTCTTAATGATGTTTGCTGCAAAAGATGGAATAACTTTAGATGATGTTGCTAAAATGAATGGTGATCCAACTGGTACTGGTATTGGCCCTAAAACTCTTAACGCTCTGGAGACTTTAGGGTAATATATTTTATTTAACGTTCTTTTTTTTTTTTTTTTTTTTTAAAAAAAAAAAAAGTATATATATATATATATATATAATAATATCGTATATTAACGTTATATGTATTTCTTTAGATATACGCTTCAAAATAACCCAAGTGGTGGATTTAAAGAAACTAGTGCTGCATGTTCAAGCATCCAATCACTAAATTCCAGTATTATCAAGACAATTGGGATTTTTGTCATTGTTTTTTTATTTCAACTTGCTGTTTTATAGACCAGATCAAATCATTTGTTATTCACTTTAATCATTTCATTATTTATTATTTGTTTGTTTTATTGCCAAAACCAACAGTAATTGCCGAGTTATCACGTGTTCGCTACATACGTCGTACAGTACGTAAGGAGTACATATTTATTAGCTTAGTGACCCGCGCCCGCGAACAAATAAATATGCGCAAAAAAGCTAAAGTTAATTAAATATTCGGATGTATGTACACGTACAGTACATACATACGTACATACTAGCGATCATACGTTTATCTATTAAAACTTGTCGTCAAAATGTGACTATTGATTAACAACACCGTTACACGAGATACAGCACTTGCAATAATGAATTTGTTAAATTAGTTTTTTTTAAAATAATTATTTTAAAAAATATATACAAGAAGAAAAATAAATACAATAATATATATATATTTTGTACATAACTTTTTCAATTAGTTATATGTTCCATTTTTTTTAGAAAATTATTAAACATTTTCTACTTAATAATCTTTTATGATGAAAAAAAAAAAAAAAAACGTTAAATATTGTATGCACTTACTCTATACATCTTTCCCCTTCTTTTCAAATTCACATTATTCAAATAAATACTACTAAACGCATATATATTTACTATCGTATGTTTTGCATTTATTTATAATTATAATCTTGATTATTATTATGATGATGAGCCATAAAATGATGTTCTTGTGTTATTGGTAACGCTTGCAAATCAATCGTAGATGTTGATGGTGGTTGAGTTCCGTATATGGTTTGTGATCTGACCGGCATAGACCTTCCACTAGAAAGTTGTTGATGATGACCGACTGCTCCTTCTGAAAATGATTCTTCAAATGTTTCTTCTTTTTCTCCAATATTAAATATTTCTCCAGCTGAATCTCGTTTTTTATGTGTATGCACATCTGTAGGTCTAAAACCTCGAGTTTTTAAGTCTGTTGACTCATTTTGACGACGTAAAATGAAAAATACGATAACGGTCACACCGATTACTAATACTGAAATTGTAATCACGACAAGTGCGATTACGAGTGATGAATTTATTTTGAAATCTGATCCTTCATAACCTACTGTACTATTACTTGTGTTAGCCATACATAAAGAAGTAAGTTATCGTTTTTTTCAAATTTTTAAAAATATATATCTTATCGAATTATTAATTATTTTGAATCCTAGTTTTTATTTTTATTTTATTTTTTTAAAAAAAAAAACGATTATGGATTTGTTTTTCAAAAAAAAAAGCCTTTTCAAAAAAAAAATGATCGATTTTTCGGAATAAGGAAAATTTTGTTATTCCACCTATAAAAAAAAAGCGTCTCAATCTTCAAATATTCAATATATTAAACATGTGGCTGTGTTTATTCGGGAGAGTAAAGCAATAAAGAAAAAAAAAAAAAATTAAAAGAAATTGTTATTTAAAAAACAATCATCTTTCTTTCCTATATCACATAGCCACACTATTTTTGAAGCGGATGCCACTTTTCTTGGATTAACACTCGATCATAACCAGGAGTAAAGTTTCTTTCGTTTAAATAATTTACCATTTTATCATATATAAAAATCTCTTAATTTATTCTTAAAGCCACCACATTTTTAAGATACGTAGCCTCCCCGCCAAAAGGTTATTAATAAATAATTTTTTTAAAAAAATAATTTCGTGTAATTTTTGATGTCATAAAAAAAAACTTTGCCCAAATGTTTTATATACAGTAGGTTACCCACCGATCGTTCGTAACTACGTACTTACGTCAACCATATAACCATGCATTCAACCTGTTTATGTGTTAAGAGGCTCTATCGCTGTAGCCGCGTATAACCTAAGCATCGTGGCTTGAAAAAAAAAAAAAATGTAATGTTTGTATTTACGTTTTTTTTTTTTTTTAGTATTCTTTTATGGTTATACGTAATTTTAATCGTCATTAAGTTTTAACGTCAAGTTTTAAATTGCAAACTATTATGTATTTTCGTGGCGCAATCACGTGCCAACTTTTTTTGGATTGTTTTATTTGATTTTAAAAAATAAATACATATACATACCCGATTAGCAGTCAAGTCAACATTTATTATATCCATCTTTACTTCGTTTGAACATTTGATTTTTTTTATTATATATATGATACTTATAACTTATTTCTGAAATTTCAAAAAAAAAAAAAAAAAAAAAAAAAAAAAAAAGAGAGAAAATAATAATATCTATATTGACTCAAAGGGATATAAAAGATGTTTGATTATATATCAGTATATACACACGTTAAATATATATATTTCTGGCTACACTTATTTACATTGTGTGAACAAAATACGCATGATTTGTAGAACATTTGATTTAAAGAAATATGTTAAGGTAATGTGTATATCCATCAAATTGTTCAATAATTAGAATATATATATATCGCCCCCAATTAACGTTAGTAAAATTAAATCAAATATATATCAAATATATAATATAAATGAATAATCAGTAATCTCTAAAAAAAAAAAAAAATTTAATATAATTTCACAAAACGTAAAGTGCTGACTTATTAAACTTTTCAATCATAGTATTCCAAAAGTTCCAAATTACCCAAACTAATGGAATTACGAAATACCAAATATATGCTATTTCATTAATACTTCTCAACCTAATAGGCAGAATTTTTGGCGATTCAGCGGTCGGAAATCGCCCTTTAGCATAAAATGTTTCCATCAATGCATCTTTTTCTATCCACCGTTGCCTAAGCCATTCTGTGAATTTATCTTTATCATCAGGAATTTCTGCTATTGCATAACGACGAATATGCATATGCACATTATTAGGGGATATTCCCGTAAAATAAATCCCTTTGAGATTATATACATGATCGGGATATTGTCCTTTCGTAATTCCATCAAACCCAATTGTTAAGTCATAAATATAATGAACGGATTTTTTAAGTGCCTGTGAACAGACATACAATCCTGTGGCATGTGGTAGTAAAATATGTTCATGGTCTTCCTACAAAAATGTGAATATATATGAATTGTTAATATTAATAATAATATACATTTATGTGTATATAAATAAAGAGGTATCATGACGAAACTAAGGCTAATCAAATCATTATCATTTTCAATTTACTTTAAAATCAACTAATTTAACTTTAATCTTGTGATCAAAATCAAACGATGAAAAAATCGTTTAACCCTATCATAGATATCATAATTCAAAATATCATAATTCAAAAATTGAAGACTATTTCAAAGACCTAAATTAAGGTACCTCAGGATTGGATGAGAAGAATTGAATAATGTAAAATTGCCTGATTCCAATTATAAAATTTTAAGATAAGCTAGTTCATCATAATCTTCCTCTATTGTATGATTAACTCACCAGTCCGGCTTTAGCCGCATACTTTCGAGACCATCCTCGCGTTTCTTCCGTCACTAACGTTCCTTCTGGAAATATAAGTAACCACATTGGATCTTCGGAATTGGCGATTTCTGATAATTTGTTATTCAAAGTATCTTTATCAGATGCCCAGCTTCTTTTCAGAAAAATAAAATCAAAGAATTGCATCCCCTATTAACAATAAATAATGTTTAATCAACTATCATTTTATATATTTTAACTTATTTTCTCTAATACCAAATCTCCAAAGTAATTTAACAAAAAATAAATTATTATAAATGTATATAATTACTTACCCTAACAAACATATAATAAAGATGATAAGAAAACTGAAAAATAACGTAACACGTGCAAAATTAAAAATTTCTACCCAATATCATTTACGTACCATCCGAATATAGGTAACCATTTTAAAGAGGCTTTCAATATAATTTTCATAGCACCATGCATATCTGACATGTATGAAAAAGCCCTGATTTTATGATTAAAAAAAAAAAAAAAAAAAACTATTCAATTTTTGATATTTATGATTCATATTTTTTGAAAATGATATTTTCTAACTACCAAATATATATCCAATCTGCATATATCTAATAATGGATAAAAAAAAAAAAAAATTTATAGTCAGAAAATTGACTTCGAATTTTTATATATATATTATATATATATATATTTCACCTGATGATTTGCTATTAGTATAGTTCTCTCGGGAATATTAAATTTATAATTTGGTGAAATAACATCTTTTGCCGATTCATCTGTGGTAATAATCATATTACAAGGAGCAAAGAACTGGGTGATGGTGACAAGAAGGATACCATAACATCGTTGAGTATGAATAATAATATTATGAAACATGCTCTTATTCAGTGGCCATAGAAATAGAGCTGCAAATTGTGAAAAATTGATCGCTATCGATTGAACAACTAAATTTTTGATGAGGTTTTAAAAGTTAGTAAAATAACTACATTAAAAGGAGTTTGAAAATATAAAGTAGAAACACGAAGAAGACTTACGATAGAATACGCAGAAAACTGCGGTTCGTACCATAGTATTTACGATGCTTGTCGTTCGAGGATCCTTTGGGATTGCCATCTTTAAAAATTTTTCCCGTTATGGTCAGTAACGTTTAAATCTTAACGTTTCTAGTGATAAAATTATTTTCACTCTACTTGAATCTTTATAATGCAGGCCAGTAAAAGAAAGAAGTTTATTCAAAAATCATCTATACATGGTCTTAAATGTTTTTGTGACAAGAGAACATTGTAGGACGTGTAAACTCGTGATATCAGGTTAAACTTTTTTAGAATTTTTGAGTAACAAATTTTTCAAAGTTAATGCAAGGAGACCCTATACATAACTCTATACATACATAGACTAATTGAGATATGTCGTAATACTTTAACACAATGCATTTAACGTATGACGAGTAAAGAAAATTTGTATCTTAACTCTTTATATCGATATATGGATTAACCAGGATCTTTGAGTAACGATAACGTTAAATTCAAATTAAATTCGTTATTTTAACATGTTATGATGTAATACTTAATATTGGAATTTTTTGTTATACGTACGTATAACATTTATATCAATAATAAAATTCATGATAATTTATTTTAATTTTAAATATTTGAGTTGTGATATATACAAGCTCTCGATATAGAACTCTCGATATAGAGTTGACTAATTAAAATCTCGATATAGTAAAGTTAAACTCAAAGCAAGTATATATCAAATTCTCACGATATAGTGAATTTACTAATACAGTAATAAAGCTTTTCTAGTGAATTTTTTTAAAAAAATTATTAATAGAACAGATCACTTCAATATAACGAAAGTGATTTGTATTACTTTTAATAGTTTTATTATAAACTTTATAAAGCAGTTAACATATGAAAACTATTTATTTTATTATAACTTTAATACTCAAGAATTTTTTAAGTTTACTATTATCTGCTAGTAGATAATAGTTTAATTTAAATCATAAAGAACTCATAATCTGAATCGCTCTGGTTATTTATTAAGGACTTTACAAATTGCTCTCTCTTGATCAATACTAGAATAAGGATAGAAGGCTTTCTATTCATCAAATTTCAAAACAAATATCTCTGAAGTATTTTAAAATAATTAAAAGGTTTTTACATGTTTTTTTTCTAGTTATAATAATTGAAAAATATTTTGAAAAATTAGAGCCTTTGTTCTTATATGTATGAGATATCTCAAAGCAACTTTATATACTAAATTCAAATATTTCAGTTGATAAAATGATACTTAGATTTTCTAGTAGAAGTGTTTATACAGTTAGAATTAAGAACAAGTCAATACTAAAAAGCTTTAAAATTTTATCTCTTTGTAAATTTGAGTATATCTATACCTTTCTACTAATATTATACATATCTTTTAGTAATATAATAAAGTAAATAGTCTTAGTTAAATAGGTTGTTTTGTTTACTACTTTATTAAACAATTTCTATATCATCAACTTTCTTATAATATATTCATAAATAACTATTTTACTAGTATTTTTCTTTATTAATTTCTTAGAAGTATTAGTATTAGTGTTTATAAAACTATTCAAAAAACTTTTTCTAGTTTTCTAAAATAATTGAAGATAGATAAAAGTGTTAAACTTGATTAGAATATTTATTCTGATATTAAAATAGATAGTATATTAGCTTTTTTTTAATAAGATAATAGGTCAGTTACTCACTCTCCCTGACAATCCTTAAAACCAAAAATGCTAGAAAAGAAAAAAGACTTTTATATATATAAATATACTTTATCTTTAAACAAAATACTCACGAGTTAGACTGGTGAAACTGGAAGTTCAGTAAAATATATCTTTTCGATAAAGAGTAGGCCATGAGCCAGACATAGGTTATTAGCATTTTTGAATATTTTATCATTTAAAAGAAGCTCTTGGAATATAGAAGTTACAAAAAGTTCTCAAATAGAGTCAAGTACAATAACTCTCTTTTTGCTTTTCAAGTTATTTTGGAATCACTCACTCTTTCTTCCTATACTACAAGCTAGTCTTGAGGACTGCTTTGGTGGTCTGACAAATCTTAGAGTTTTTTCGAACAAAAAGTAGAGATCTAGCTTGCCCCCTACTGATGATCAGTATACATATCATTACTATTTTAGAAGTAGCTATATTGTTGTTATAACAACAAACATGTGTAGTCACATTATAGTTTGGGCTATTACTTTAGGCTACGATATTTACGTGAATAAGCTCTACATATATGGACAAAAACCAAATAGATATATCGAAACTATATAGATATATACAAACAAGTGCAAATTATATATATAATTTTTAAATACTCAGTCTGAGTTCTCATTCCTTGTTAGATTAGGTTTAGAATTAGAACGTCTTTCTTTTCTTTTTGTTTTGTTTTTTTCTTTCTGCTCTTTGTTTTTCTTTAACTGTTTTAAGGTTTTTTAACTTGCTCGCAAGTTTTTCCTTAGTATAGT